CAGCAACCACAGGCAGGAGGACCAAGGGTGGTTAATGTGATCCACTCAAGGGTCAACGAGAACGAAGTCAAAGGAGAAACCCAGAGGGTAAGGCATTTACAGCATGTCTACCAAATCGGGGAAAAAGACCTCGGCCTGAAGAAAGCCAAGGACCAATGATAACCTTCACTAAAGCCGACCTAGAGATGGTCTAGCATCCGCATAATGATGCCTTGGTAGTATCCCTCCAGGTTGGGGAATGCCAAGTAAAACGCATCCTAATAGATCAAGGCAGCTCTTGTGACATAATGTACGTCAGATGTTACAAAGAGCTAGGCCTTCATCCTGACGACCTGGAACAATCCAGCAACCCTATGGTCAGCTTCAATGGAACGCCGACATGGCTACTGGGCGCAGCAAGCGTGGAAGTACAAGCTGGTACTAAGAAGATCAAAACAGAATTTATGGTAATTGACACACCCTCACCATATAACATCATCTTGGGAAGACCATGGTTGCATGCAATGGGGGTAGTTCCTTCAACATTGCATCAACTACTACGGTTCCCCACAGAGCATGGAATTGAAGAAATCAGAGGAGATCAACTGCAAGCAAAAAGTTGCTCCATGGCAACAACAAAGTCCACTTGCAACATTCGAAAGCCAAAAGAGGCAGAGATTGAAGACGAGGACATGGAGGTCCTAGATGATGTCGGCAAGGAGCCAACCGAAAAGAGTGAAGAGACACTAAAGAAAATCCTAGTCCAGGAGGGCAACGAAGAATGTTTCTTTAGCCGAAGAAGAGGAAAAAGAACTAGAAGATTTTTTGAGAGCCAACATTGAAGTGTTCGCCTGGACACCTTATGAAATGCCTGGCATTAACCCCGAGGTCACTTGCCACAGACTGAATGTCGACAGGTCGGCAAAACCTGTGATTCAACGAGTTAGAAGACCGACGTTGATGCACGTCGAAGCAGTAGAAGAAGAAGTAGACAAACTTCTGGAGGCTAGGGCCATCCGAGAAGTTCACTATCCGACATGGCTGTCCAACACAGTAGTAGTGAAAAAGAAGAACGGTAAATGGAGAGTCTGTGTAGACTTTACCAGCCTCAACAAAACTTGCCCCAAAGACAGCTTTCCTCTGCCCAAGATTGACCAAC